ATAGTTAGAGTCAATAGTTAGAGTCTTGTTCGCAATCGTCTAAAATCCTTCTCCAATATTCGCTCCGTATAATAGGGTGGCAATTTAATAGGGAAGGGGGCAGTGGACAATCCCCACTGTCCGGGTCTCGAACGTAGTCACCTCCACGCGGTGAGACCTGGGTTGGTAGCGTTTTCAAAGACTTTGAAAACGGTACCAAGCGAAGAACTACGATCTAGTTTAAGAATCTCTGTATTTGTATGTTAAATTATATATCATTAACTTAATGTATGCGCTAATAAATATTGCGATAAGGCAAATATCTGATTTCCTTTGGATTAACAAATAAATGGATGAAACGAATCTTGGCATTTTTATTTTAAAATCCTTGCCCAAATGATCAATCCTAGGTACGGCTACTTAAAATCAATGTCCGAACTGAATTCACGAGTTAGACTTGGATACGCTAACAAATGAATTATAATGCAAACAGATCTAACTAGTAAGCAAGAATCTTCAACAAAATTCCTTTCTTTGACATGAGCTTATACGCAGCTATCAATTTTTACCCGAGGTTATTCAAGAGATAATTCATACAAACTAAGTCCATCACTCTTTAAATATTTACTATGGAGGAAGTGTCGCGGCCTTGAGGAATGGCAAGGTCTGTTGGCGAACGGATTTCGTTGCCGTGACAGGAACCTCAGAGTCCGCATTGTTAAGATAGTCTAGATGCTGTTTGTGTATTTTCTACGGGTGCCTTTGGTTCCCAACACGTTTATTGGACATTTATAGTCGCCTAAGCTTTTTACTTACATAAGGTCGCGGTAAGCAGAATCCGTAACAGTGACGCTATTTTACTATCCTCGCATCACGTTTGATGGCTGTGTTGCGTAAGCGTTTCAAGCGCATAAGCGCGCATCATTATCCTCGCGGAGGCGTAGTGAAATTCTCTTTTGCCGCTTCGGTATCGCGACGCCAAGGACGGTCTATTAGCGACAGATATCTAATCTTCTGAAGAAATTAAATTTTCATAAAATAAAAACTCCACTGATTAGTTGCCCGAGAATCAATTGAACTGTAATTTATTCGAAACATCGAATTGGTATTTTAACATTATGAGAGCAATTAATCATTTGTTTAAATACATTAATCGAAAAAATTATAGTACCATGAAATTTTAAATGAACACCTCTAAGTTATATCAGGAATGGCAAATATCAACCAAAACATGCCCTTAGATTTTAGGGGTATGACGGATTCAAAAATGTCTATTAGCATTTTGAAGTAGAGATTTCAAACTTTAATTCAAAAGAAGAACCACTGTCTTATGGTAATTCGTTACTGAGTAATCACATTCTAAACTTTGGCAATTTTCGAGACAAAATGCCAAAATTTTTTTGAGACTGCGAAACCGTATTATTGCATCTCAACAAGACTAAAGCGAAAGGAAGTTGGGGCTAGTTTTCAAATTAGCTATTTCCGTTTTCCTATCGATTTACGCTTAGATTGCATACACGCAAGGAGATCGAAATCCAGAATCATTTTCCCATAAAAAGCACGTGCATCGCTGTTACGCAATTGTCAGAGCACACGATGCGACGATACGGAAATTGGCATTGTGCAATCGAGTTTGCGGCGATCAATCGAATTAAACATCATTGCAGTTAATATAGGCCATTTGAAAGAATATAATGTTGAGAAAATTGGATTCATTCATATTTAAAGAGTCGCACGTAATTCCACTTTGCTAACAGAGTGAACAGTCTTCGGTTCATAACCGAGGAAACGCGTGATGATTGTACGTATGTACATGCATAAATAGTTCCAAGCTAGCATATTATTACGTTCAGAAAGAGGCGTCGTAAATTCCATGTGCCAGCTGCATATTAACAGGTTTGACGGGCCGCGATTTACGTGTACTAGCTGGCGATGTACGTTTGATAGTCGTTAGACAAAGCGTGATCATTAATAGCCGTTGACTCGCGATCGACTGATCACGCGACCATCTACTTTTACACCTGTTTTCTCTGTATCTCAACTCGTTTTCCTTCCATCACGTGTTTTCCAACGTCACTTTTAATTAAAAGCCACTAGGGAACGAATATTGATTCTTCATAACCGAGCCGCAAACCTAATCGCTTTCGCGAATTCTGTGTCAATATTTTCCTCATTTCACTGAATATTAAATAACATTAATTAGACGAACATTGTCCTTGTTAGGTTTTTTAAAAGTTATTTTATCTGAATTAGTATATTCTTACTGCTTCTGGAAATTTAATTGTCTTTATGAAATTATCATAGTTAAGTTTCTCTTACAGTATTAATTATTTCTAATGGGAGAGACGTTTTCTGATTGCAGGTGGGTAAGACGCACGAGGAAATGGAGAAGATTGCCCGTCTGTTACCATACGTGTCACACAAGGGCGAAGTCGTAGAAATTACGGAACCGATCGATCCCAGCAAGCTACTTCCCGGTAAGCATTACACTATTATTATTCCGACACACGTCAAAATAGGATCACTTTTCTAATATTGGATCAAACGACTTCATTTCCCTCTGGGATGTTACGATGCTTCATTTACTACGTAATATGTAACAAAAAAGTTGAAAAGATTGACTATTTGACAGAATCTCGAAAGAAAAAGAAATGGGCATGATTTTTAAAATTTTATTAGGGCCTCTAATAAAGAGACAACATTTTTATAAATATAAGGAAATACAATAATTGTAAAAATTCTCCTTACCTTCTAACATCTCATAAAAAATTAAATTGTTTGTTATTAACAAAGTCAGTCAGTTTTTAAATGCGAATGTTAATCGTATCCGATTAAAATGCCACAATCTCAATCTCATAACAAATTCTCTTTCGTGTCGAACGGGATCATCCTTTTAATGTCCTTCGATTATCCGAGTAAAGACACTGTCCTCATGCATGCATTTAAAATTCTCAAAGGGGGAACTCTTCAAAACGTCTGCTGATATTTTATTCCACGCGATTTTCGTCACACAAACAGCATTAAAAATTTGAAGCAAACACGTCTGTTTTGTCTGCTCCTTTTAAAAAATTGATCGAGATCGAGTTCTGCATGATTGTTTGATGATTTAACCATGTTGGTTGCATGATCGAAGATTATGAAAACAAGCCGCGCCAGCGTTTGAATAAATGAGAAATTTCTACATACGTGCATTACGTTAACGAAGTTACATAACTATTTTTCCTGCATTTGTATTAATGAATTGGCAATCGGTACGAGACGTCAGACGCATAACGTTCAATAATGATCCATCAGATGCTTTCCACTTATTCGCGTTCATCGTTTTATTCATTTCCCTAATTGAGACTTAATAGTTTCTTTTTTTATTGGTCGTTGCAGATGATAACGGTTACTGGACGTACTTGGGATCGTTGACGACGCCTCCTTGCAACGAGAGCGTCACGTGGATCTTGTTCAAGAAATGCATTGAAGTGTCCCATCATCAATTGAACATCTTCCGTAATTTGCGGAAATTCTCCCGGGGCGAAGAGTGTCCTTGCCATGAAAATCATGGAGCGGTAAGAACTGTTCGAGATCTATTAAATCGGTTATGAAAATACTGGGTGTGACTAGACGAGTCATAAAACCGAGTCAGAGGCTTTTTTCGACTTACTTTTACACGTAGTATGATCCCCTGCTCGGATCTACCATCCGCTCAGCCACACCCAGCGTTCGTATAATTTGTCCCGCACGGCTCGCTTCCCCTTTTTTTCGCCCGTATTTCGATCCCCAATACTATTCTCTTCATGCGCCTTCGCTGACCATGCCTAGCATACCCCCATCAAGTACCAGTCCCTATCATGGTCGCGTCATCCCCACTTTCCGGCTGAGGGACAAATTATACGATTCCTGATCCCAACCATGGTCGCGACGTCCCCATTTTCCGGCCAAGAGACAAATTATACGAACGCTGGCCACACCCTGTATAATCAGATTAAAAAATGGACCAATTTCTTTACTCATCTTAGTATTCTATTATCTAAATTTCTATTATCTAAATTTATTTTTAACACGTTGGATGTCACGTTAATTTTACATGGTTTACGTGTCTGGTCAACATGAATTTTGTTTGTGAATGGTGAAATATTATTTGTGACAAGAAGAAGCGTGTAATAATACTTATATGATGCACTTATCTTAGTGGAAGTGGTGATATTCTAGTAACGATGATAATATAAAAAGAAGACAGTGAAATTTACTCGAAGTATGTGTTTCTAATTTTGTCATCGGTGACTTCTACGTATGAACATTCGAATGAATCAGTTTTGAAAACGGCGGACTTCTCCGCGTTATATGTTTCAGGTAATCAACAACTTCCGTCCGCCGATGCCGCTGGGCAATCGCGTGCTACGCGAATGCGGCAGCCTCTGAAACATCGTACCCGTCGATTTCGATTCACTCTCGGGCGAAAAACGACGCTACAAAAGAGACGCGTGCGCCCGCCGTTCATTCATTGATTCATTATACATGAATCAATCGCGATAGTTTCCCGGGGTTTTGATCGAGGGAAATAATTCACCGTTCGTTATCAATCGCGGACCTTTTACTCTGCTAAGTGCCTTCTTCCGTTTGTCAAGTCCCGTACGGAACGCTGAGGAAGAGTGGCGAACGGGAAATCCTCTGGATAGGAAATTGGGCTGCGGAACGGTTCATTTTATCCAATAACACTAAATCGAAAGATACGGTAGATTCGGATTGATCGGAGGAATTAGAAAGTACTATCTTTTATATTGATTGACGATTCTTCATTTAAATGAAAAACAAAAATAAAGAGCTTCATCGTAGGAAAAGAAGTTACGGAGAGTACAAAAGAGAATGATAGTACGGATAAAATAAATTCGAAGGCGCCGTGACGCGGAACATAAACGTGTTCGAAAAGTAGAATTATGCATTACTAGACTGCGGATTTTATGCATTTGAAAGTAAACGTGCAAAGAATGTAAACACTGCATGTGATGTATAGAAATGTAGAGAATATCGAAGGCAGACTGCATACTGCAATATTTAAATGATAATAGAAACTGTTATTTAAATACACATTTTTTAAACTAGAACCATAAATACTTTGCATTAAAATCTGCAGTCTATGCATTAAATATGATCTGTTTGAATAAAACGAGTCCCTACTTTTTAGGACGATTGACGATCCAAAGTGCAATTAATTAGAACCGATACGGAATAACTTCTGCTTGACCTATTCCGTTTTTTAAAGTAGAATGACTATTTAGAAGACAGTTTTCATCATCGGATAACAAAACGTGCCTATACGTATACATAGATATTTACAAAAACTGAAGTATAGTCGAATCGCGATGGAGGATTTGTAAAACGTATTCTAAACTCGATAGTTCGAGGTTCTTAAAATAGATCCGTCCATTATTGGCAGATCCCTGTGGGATATATTACATAATTATAAAAATTATTGTGTCATTGGATGCCATACGATGAATATTTTACATGATGACGTATATGTTATACTGTATACCAGGGGTTTCCAACGGGGTTGGTATCGACTCCTTAGAGGTTGATGACATTTTCGAGGGACTCGATGGTGAAAGCGTCGATAACCGAATATGCACCGGCTATTTGTCGGCATAATCGAGATTCCATTGATTACAAGAACCATTTATTAATCGAATTGATACTTAATTGTGTATTGATATAAAGCTATATCACGTAGTAAGGAAGAAATCATATAAAATATATATGAGGGAAACAATACACCAAAATTATTTAATACGTTGTAAAGACTAATAATATTTTATAAATATATATACATTTTTTTATGTAATATAAAAAAGTAGAACACATATGAGGAAATCTTATACTGCGTGTATTATAGAGAAAACTAGTTGATGAGAAGAAAACCATTGTTTTAAAAGTCGATGGAAGGAAATCGTTGGAAATCCCTGCTACATACAAAATCGTGTTGTTCATAGAAATTTGCAGTTCGTGCATAGTTTTTAAAACGAGGCTGTCGAATGGTTAAACAAATTACTATAGAAAATTATGAGTAACACGTTTATAATCTACTTATTATAAAATTGAAGGAACAGAGTGCCGTGCCAGTTTACGATATCGTACATTGGGCACGCGTTCATGTATTCGCTTGCTATGTAAGTCATTTTTTTAAAAGCACACCGAATGGAAAACCGCTGATTCGACGAATCTCCGATCGTGCACGCGACTATACGTGCCTTTATTACTTTAACCACTCGCGCTAAATAACGCAATTGTTAATAAATAACGTTTCGCACCCTACGATCGTCGATCATTATATTCGATCGCTTTCAGACGCGAAACGCTGTGAGACATTATCCTTCTTGCATATTGCAATTATTTTTTTAAACAGATAACGTGTTGTTGCTTTTACGATGAGGGTACCTCGTCTCGTTTTATTATTGTAGTTAGTAGGTTGAAAAGAGAGAAATGAGAACGGTATTCAATTGACTTCCAAATCTATTTACATATGACATTTCGTTCCAATATACATATACTATTGTACATTATCCAGACATTTAACTCGATGTACCTTGTACGTTTATTAAAACCTGACACTGTATAGAAGTCGACAGACCACTTATGTTTTAATATCAGTAGACATCAGTCCGACTGTTAATAACTTACTTTTAATCTTCATTTCTATCACCTCGTTTATTGAAACCTGACTTTGTATAAAAATCGACAGTATGAGTAATCTTAGTATCAGTTTGATCGTTGATAATTGTACAGAAAGTAGTTGCGTGCGTTGATTTAAAACCGAAATTTTGATGAGTCATACACGCGTTATTCGATTCGATTCTCTGATTATGATACAACTTGCGTGATCGTGTTCATCGAAGACCGTGAAAATAAATGCTGTCTTTGCATATAAAGTAATGTTAGCATTAAACGATACGGTTAAAGCGCTGAAACTGTTAAACGTTCTTTCTCCCTCTGAAACGTGTGATCCTAATGTATTAACTTTCTCGCAATAATAGAGAGAGTCGTTCATACGTTTTGGCGATGATTAACTAAATATAATCCGTGTTTCATTTCTTCTTTTTGTATTTATTCTTGAACACGAGAGAGAACCGATCTGTACATGTATGATTCGTAGCATTGACTGTGATAAATGAGACGTAAGAGAAGAGAATATGATAAATAAATGATCGCGAGGAAATCTCGCGGTGATTGTGTTTAAATTGAACGAATTGTATGTTGAAACCTTTCCAAAAATTGATTACTTAACGTTAGGACTGACATTGAGGGAAAAGGCCTCGCGTGCGTAGAACAGAAAAACACGCTGCACCTTTTTAAATTAAAGGAAGAAGAACTGGTCGATAACGAGAGGCAGGATTGTACAGTAAATATCAATTTATTTATTTCCCAATTGGTTTTCAACACCACTACAGTGTAACAGTGATATTAATATACAGATAATCGGATGAGCTTTGAATGTTCGTAGCCTTGTTAATCGCCTACACATTTAAACGATTATAATCGAGTAAATAGATATTGTCAACAATCACAGATACTTTTTTCCTTGTCGCATACATTTTCGCTAACAATTAAATCTCGTGCGATTACAAAACAATTTCGCATTTACAATGACTCTCATTAATATTCAGAGAACAGATTAACTTTTTTAATATTGGATCAATCAACTTCATTCTCTTTGGCATGTTACGAGGCCTGGTTTATTTTATAAGGAAGTTCAAT